CTTCACCCGAATATTCAGTTCAGGTTAAGACCAAATTTATGCGCATAAGGTCCACATCTACAATTCGCTACGATACTTTCATTCATCCCTCTTTTCTTTCGCTTTTAAGAAACTTTGCTACTTCGATTTTACGACTGCTAGACCTTAAACGACGTACAATACAAGTTTCTTTATGCTGAAAGGTTGTTTCATGCCAACACACTGATTTGCATCTGTAGTAGCAATAGCATTATGTCAGGTAAATACGGCTGTGCTCAAAGGGCTTCTTGCAATGATAAGAAAAAATAGGAATTTCTCAAAAATTGACCGATGTATTGCTCAATCACGAGAAAAGTTACACTTTGATATTTACGAGTTCGAAGTTAGGCCATGAGTTTTCATATAGTTTCGCTGATTAAAGAGATTGGGGAGTATGTTCTCTGATTGCGCCTGTTTAATCTCTTAAATCTTTAGTGCAGATGGAACAGGATTTGACCTTGTGGGCCCTGTTTTCGTTGTAAATTCATTGTTATCGGTAGTCCACGATGTGAGTTTTACTCGGGACACAGGTTCGAGCCGAAAATGATTCGCTCAAACCTCCATATACAAATCAGATGGGTAACGTGCTCAACAAGCTATCACAATTATCCCTAACTCAGATTTATGAGAAAGCAAAGATATTTATGTGTCAGAGGCCGCGCGATATGAACCCCTTTCATGCTCTTCCTGCGACAGAAATTCTTTTTCGTCCGTTTTTTCGATTTGTTTTTTGATCAGTTGTATATTTTTTCTCATTTTTGTTTCTCAATCCGGTCCTGGAAATTTACTTTACAACTCCTACTCTTTCTCAGAATTTTCATCCGTTTAACCAATATACTCAGGAACGATGACACCAGTGCCATGGCGGAGGTCAGAAAGTACGAAAATGTGAGAAAACGAAGCAGAAATTAAGACAGCTGATAGGCTTCGAACACACGGTGTATCTTGAGCTGATGAAGTTGCTTCATGGTCATGGAGAAATCAATATAAAATTCTAAGTCAAGCTAGGTCTTACGGAAGGCTGAGCTCCCGAGTGCACTGTAGCCTCAGATATAGAATCATACGGACCACATTTTTACAGATTCACTGCAGTGCTCATATGTTTCAGCGCTTTCTTGCCCGATGCATGTGCTTCATCTCTTCGGTCATTACATCGGATAATCGTTCACTTTGCATTTCTTTTATATACATCGTATAACCGAAAATTATTTGTACTATTATTAGAATCGATTATATTTTGTGGAGGTGCGGTTACTTATTTTTCCATCTGGCCTGATCATCATTGTAGTTTTGCGTGGGTGAATGATGTAGCCCATTTCCTTTATCCAGAACAAGCCTATAACATGATTACTTGTAAGTTATAAATTGCAAAACTTGGTATTCGCTAGAATTGGTCATCAATCAGTCGCTGATAATGATCACCTCATTATGTGCTTTTAAGTAAGAGCGGTTTCTGCTCCTCCACTTAGCGTGCTGTAATGCCGAAAACACCTTTCAAGTCCCAGGGAAAAGTCACAAGAACAAGGTGGAATGCAAAACNACCGTATCCTTCAAAAGAGCGCTTGGGTAATTCATAAGCTCCGTTCAATGTTGCCAGTGCGCAGTTACGTTTACGTAACCACCAGCCTCTGAAATATATATTTTGCAGCTTATTCGAAGACGCTACCCATAGTTTCTATAAAAAAAATGCACAACTTCACTGCATTCCGAAGAAGTTTCAAGAAAATATTTTCTAACAAACCCCATTTTATACTCCGTTACGCATTCAGGTTTCGGATCATTGATCCTGTCGACGGTAGAGAATTGAGCTCCAACAGATTCAATCATGTCGAACCTGAAAACTACTCGCATTTCATCGTAACTATTCTTTCCTCGCTTTATGCGTAGAACAATCGCTCTTGAGATGATCTTCTACTTACAATCCAATGGACGCATTACCCTCAATTTTCCTCCAGTTAACAGACAGACTTTCAAGAGTGTAGTTGGTCTCTTCAGATCCGACCTGTAAAAAAGCTGAAGCTTTCATTGCAACGTTTTCACTTATTCTGTTACTATATTACTTCGGTGTTTATTTATGCATTTACACATCTTCTTTTCCCTGAAGTTCGCAGGAGAAGCGAAACGTCATAGTTGAAATGAAGAAAGCAGGTCCTTCTCTCAGCTGAAGCATACTAGAATTCTAATCTCACCTCATCCTTTATTTGGCCTTTCGAAATCCTCCAAATGAGCAGTTCTCATCGCCCATACGAACGACTTTTTATGGAATTTCTAGTGATATCTCTTCAGAATTTTCGATGCAAAGTCTAGAGAACTTTTCTTGAATTGCGTTTCTTATCTTACTTTCGCTTGATGCAGTTCGATAAAAGCACGAATAAGTTAGAGAGTAGAAAAGCATGAACGCTATGTATTCAGCTAGAAAGAAATTCTGATACTTGATTCTTACGAAAAAATGCTCTACCTGAAATTTAAAGTAGTGGTTCCACCAGTATCCTGTGCGATTTTTCGCCATTGGAGACCTGTCACCTCTAAGCTCCACTCTCAGAATCACATCGGGATCCTTGTGAGTGAGCTGGTGAAGTGCTTCGTTGCCCAACCAAAAGGTAGTGTTCTGTAACGTTGAACGATCATGTCGAATAATGGCTATGGCATGTTTATGATTCAATTCGACTTACCCGTCCTATTTTTCCAAATCCATTTCTGTACTCGGTCCAGTTATGGTCCCAAAACGAATCACTGCCATTGACTCTTCTGCAATTCAAACTCAATGGACGTTCGCGTTTGAAGGCGAATATCAAGAGGGGATTCGCTTTGGAATCCGAGTTGATATCTGGTGTAAATTTCAATTAAGGAGATATCCAATGCGGAAAAGATAAGAATTGGCCAGGTAAGTCTGTGACAAAGCCAAAATTCATTTCTTCTATGCATAGATTGGCACAAGTAAAGTAAAATGCATTTAGTAAAGAACAATCGAATCAGGTTTCCTGGGTCTTTTTCCACTCTCGTCACCCAGAAACCCAAAACAATGGACATTTTGCTGAAAACTGATAAGAAGGAGAACTAGGGATTTGCTAGTCTGCGATATTGAATTTTTTTGAAGGTATGAGTTTGACAATTGGTTATGAGTTCAAAATTTCTAGTACCACCACACTACTAGATTTTCTTTCAGAAAGCAATAGCTCTTCATACCTTTGAAAGACGACCCATCCGCCTCCTGCAGTATGCATGTCGCAGTAGGCCTTGTAAGGTTTATCGTTGACAACAATGCTATATACACCATCACTAAGAAGTAAAAACTATTAAATCTCCAGAAACGTCGGCTTTCATCCCCAAACTTACTCTTTATAGTTAGCTTTGTACCAATCAGCACAGTCGCTCATTACATCACGTGTTTCGCAGACGAAGCACTTCTTTTCATCACAGTCTGTCGCACTCCATTCACCTGCTGAATTTCCCATCAAGCAGATTTTCATTTCGGGTGATTCAGAAAGGGGTGAATTTTAGGAGTTCGGAAGGATGTTCAAGCCCTTACCTTTCTCAAAAGACGACTCTATGCATTGATAGGATGTGTTCGGTCTCTCTGAACGAGTAGCGCATCAATATCATAAAAATGAGAGGAAAAGATTTACTAAGGTTGTAAAAGACATACTTTCGCCAAATTTTTTCGAGTCAAATGATGAGCCATCTACCCATGAGCACTTGCCTGATCTGCATTGTCCACCCGTCCAAAAAGATTTGCATTCTTCAGAGGCTGCGAGGGCTTGAAACATATTTCAAGTTGCTTTTTTGCACAAACAATTCGGGACCCATATTTTTTGTGATCACGGTTGCCACAATTTCTGACATATTTTTCATTTTCATTTGTAGATTATCACGAACCAGACTATTTCGCCTCGTTTTCTTGCACCTTTCGTTAACTCTGTGTGCAACTGGTCCTCTTGCTTGTACTGTTCGCTTGTGCTGTCTACTTAGCTCGATGGTTACGAGTATGATGGGATTTCGACAATATGCGTAGGTGAAAGAAACGCTGGATTAACATTCGTCATTGGCGATGAAATTAAAAATAAGTTGCTCAAAGGATAAAAACTTTTGCCAGTGATTGAGAAAAGTAATTGAAAGTAATCAATTACGCATCTCCCGGTTGGCTGCAGGCTTTTGTTTATAGGAAAAGGCAAGTACACGCAACCCTACACTCGTTACATACATAGGTGCGTAGCGCTACTCTTTGAGAGTGGGTCTAGAAAGAGGGTGTTCATGAGCTAAGAAATAGACCTATCTCTAGATTCCACGGTTCATCTTTGACTGCAATGGCGGTATGTACATGGCGGTATGTACATGTAAATGGCCCTCTCGATAAATTCCCTAATAATGCCTTTTTCGGAAGCTCCTAAAAATTTTCAAAGAGTGGAAGGAATGGTACTATGCAGCTTTTTCAGGAACAAGCTCTTAAGAAGAAGTCAAGATGAAACATTAGCTTAAAATATTGTGCATAGTGAAACTCTTCATCACGCCAAATATACAAGTAACGCAGTTTGGGCAAGTCTGTAGCGAGTGCGCTTATTCACAGAAAGTTTTCCACCTTTGATACACATACCTTTGATGGCGTCTATGTCTTTCTGATCATGAATAGATGTGAGATGACCACGTCTCGATTGACAGAAGGCCTCAGATCGTTCCCAGCTCCTGAAAGGCAATCATAAGAGAGTAAGCTTAATAGAGTAGATGGAGTGCCTGGCCTACACAATGTTATGATGGCTTCTCGCTCACTCTCATTCTATNATCATGAATAGATGTGAGATGACCACGTCTCGATTGACAGAAGGCCTCAGATCGTTCCCAACTCCTGAAAGGCAATCGTAAGAGAGTAAGCTTAATAGAGTAGATGGAGTGCCTGGCCTACACAATGTTATGATGGCTTCTCGCTCACTCTCATTCTATGCTTACTCAAGAGCAACAGAGCCTTCAAGCATAATTTCAGTATATCAAAGTAATGTTAGCTCAAAAACAAGTTCATGTATATCGTCGAGGTTTTCGTAACAGTAAACGGTCTTCATCTTCAGTTAAAATCCACAATTTTAAATCTAGAAGACGAGGACGCACTACAAAAGACCCACCAGTCAGGGACACATTGAGCCGAGTAGGCATTTCATGGCCCTATGTATTATACTATGCAGCTCTTTCATTCGTAATTTCAAAGGAGTACTCAAAGCGGATGTTCCTCAGAAACCCTTGTCTCTTTTCGTAAGTGTTCACTTTATTACGTCACATCATTTTTTCGATGAACTTTTTCCATTCGCTTCGGAAAGTATTAACGAAAACTAGAGATCTCCAGGCAATTTTTCACTAGTTTGAATGAAAATGGAAAAAGTGCAGGTCAAACTAACCATTTGTGAGATCCCTTGTGAATGCAGTGATTGCGGCCGTTCAGTTGTACGCAAGTGATACCCGAAACAACGGCGACCGTCAGGTAACCAAGGAACAGTTGCAGAAGTCGTTCCATGACGACGGATATACGACAGAGTGAAGAGATGGGATTCTGTCAATCAATTTCTAATTGTTGTACCTAAAAGGGGCAAATTCGAATCCTGTTTACAAATCAGTAAGTCTTGTATCCTTTGTTTTAGTAGGTAGATAGCCTACTAACAGAGGGTATATGCTTCACCAGGTGAGAAACAATCAAGGAGGGTGCTCAAACAGAAGAGAAGTGTTGAAAATGTGCAACTGAAGGCAAGCCATTGACATTTAAATATTCCACCGTGTTTACTCTATTTGCACTGGACGATTTCAGTTATGTCAACTGAAAGACCTCTCTCTTCTTCTATTTTCGTACATGAAACAAATCTATTTTCGTACATGAAACAAAAGTCAGGAGGCTTGCTGCAACATCAGCCGTGCTTCCAGCAAACTGCAGCTTTCCGAAGCTTTCTACGCTTGAAGGAATAGTTACTAAGTGGTGGACAGTGTCAAGAGGAACGGTGATAATTTCGAGTTGAAGTTGACGTATGGTATCCTCACTATACTCTTCTGTGAGACTTTCAAAAGTATTGCTTAGAAAGGAGAATGGCATTGATGGAGCAGATTTCAATCATTTCTATGGATGTGAAAAAGATATCTTGTCGAACAACTGCTCTGAATAATGAATCAGTTAAAGTCAATTTCAATGTATTCATGTTGTGAGGCAGGTTACCGATGGAAAAAAGTTTCTGAAAAAAAGAAAAGTGTAGTTTTGCTCTTTCCTTCACTCATGAGGTTTGTATTACGGTATCAGAAGTCTGGCTCTCGGGACGAGTGGGTGAAGTTCTACTCGCCTCGCACGCTACGGAGAAAAAAGAGAGAAGGAGAAAGAGAATTTCACCATATTGAAGCTGGGAGACCTCCTTTATCATTACGATTGGATCATCCTGTCAAGATGGCTAATCCAAAAGGAACTCGGAAAGCCGCACTTTTATGACAGAATACATGAGTAGTTTTTCGAATTCCTCTTCTGAAAGGAGAAGAGCATGATTGAAGCAATGTGTTGGCTCTGCTCTCATTCCTCAAGATGTTCCTCCCAAGTGGTGCAGCTTTTTACCAAAATACCATTCCTCGTTAGAAGCGAATTTCGTGCTGCCGCCTCTAGCCCTCTCAATATTTGTTGCATACGTCAAACCTATCGTAGGAAAAAGAAGCCCTCCCCATACATTGATGTCGCTATAAACGTTGGAGGAAATTAGGCAAACAAGGGAGCCTATTTAAAGGACATGCCTCCACATGAGCATCATCATCATTTGCGTATTCTTTTGTAATTTCAGCTATTTGTGAAATTTTACCTGATGTACTTGTGAAAATCTACTCTCTACTTCCTGAAAATTTTGTAAAAGCTCGAGTCTTACTATGCTTTTTTGACTGACAGGTAGAAATTGATGGGTACCATACTCCATACTACCCGTTCACGTGATCGCACTTCCGCCACTATGGAACGACTTCTGCAGCTGTTTCTGAGCCTTCTAACGATAGTCGTCGTCTCCGGCATTACCTGCACCCAACTGAACAGCCGCAATCACTGTATTCACAAGGGTCCTTATGAGAGGTTAGTTAGACCTGCACTACTTTGGAATTCAGTGAAGGAAAAGCCGATGGTCTCCAGCAATCAAAATGTCCCGATAATTCGATGAATGAAATCATGGGTATGGGCAGAACGTAAGGAACGTCCCAGGGACGACACTTATTAACTCTATCCTACCTTCTAATTGTAGGCGAGAGTTTGTCCTATTGTGCACCAGGTCAGCAACGTGATACGATTTCAAGAAAATACTTTTTACTCTTACGAGGTCTTACTTGGAAAAGGAAAGGAAAGTTTTCACGGTTTGAGCTCAAGGAATTAGGTCTTCCTCATACTGAAGGCATGGATGAGAGAACTGTGTACTAGGAAATGGCTGAATGCCTGCTCGCCGTAGTTTATCGGTATAGGCCATTTGGTTCTACCCCTGCATCTTAATCTTCTGGGAAACACGTAAAAAATCAGGAAATCCTAACCATAAATCCACACTGATGTTCTGTGAAAGGGGAGAGTTCATTTTTCGGAATCTGTTGTTGTACTTCTCACTATTACTGTAAAATCGCCCCGGAGTTAAACGATTGAATTCCCTATTTTGAAACCAATATTCCCCTGAGATGCAATGCAACAAAACCATCGAGATTAATCGAATCACTCATCAGGCATTTCAAATAGCTTGCTGTAGTCAGAGTTTCTTCTTGGAAAGCGTTTTTTTTCCAGAAATTGGGAAATGTCAGAGGCATACTGTGAATCCCGAAGTGGTCACCTCACATCCATACATAATCAGAAAGACATCGCTGCGATTAAAGGTAAGTGCAATAGAGATGTACTGCGAACCTCATAGCTCATCTGCAGAGGATACTCAGGTTCTGTTACATGGGAAATTTTACTACAAGAATGCTTCAGAATATCTTCTAGAATCATCACACAGAATCTGCGAATGTAACTTTCAACTAACCCTTCGGATGCATTTCATTTTTATGTTTCTCATACGCAAACGACTGTCCCATTCCATCATCCATTTCCTCTCCTTTGAATTCGGAATAATCCAGTCTTTTGAATCAAACTGACAAAATCAACAATAGCTTACTGCCGCAGGCTTCATTCATGCGGTGTTAGGTTCTTTTATATTTACCTTTGATCAAATGTTTCTGCGCTGCTTTCAGAATAAAAAAATGGTAGAGATCGCCAGGCGGCGAAGGTAAAACGAAATAATTTAGATGGATTTTCTTGACCCATGGTAAGCGCCAATGCCTTCCAAATCTGTTCAAGGCAGCCACCAGCTTTTGTACCTATGCTCTCTTATTGAATGCTCA